ACAGAAACATGAGTCAGATTCTCTATTTTCATTTCAAAATTCCTGCCTTGCCTGGTTTACATACATGCTAAAGAAAATGATACGGATTTCTTTTTAATCAAAAACACAGAATAATAGTTCCATTTCCAGTCTTGCTTGTGACCTTAAGTTACAATTGATTAAAAATGCTCCTATTAAAAAAAGAAAAATTGAAAACTAAAACAGAAAACTTGGTTGTGACATCAAAGGGGAATCCCAAGAAAGAATTACTAGGAATAGCTTCAGAAGTAAGCTGGAAGGAGAGACTTCATATGCTGTTTCTGCTTAATTACCATATTTTTATGCAAATAACACATGCATTATATGGTTTTTCAAACTGTACAATCTCTCTTGCATTAGTTGCGTATGAGTGTTATGCATCTTGTATATGTGTGTGTTATTTACGTAGGCACACTGTATGTGAAAACCACAGTCCCATCCCAACTCTGTTGTTGTTGCTAGGTGCCACAGACTCAATTTGGACTCAAACAGACCCCATGTGACATAGCAGAACTACCCCATTGGGTTTTTTAGGCTGTAATCCTTTAGACAGCAATATCCAGGTCTTTCTTCTGCAGAGCCACTGGGTAAGTCTGAATCACTCCCTGACTTTATGACCTTGTGAAAAATGCACTGTCAGTAGATGGGCAGTTCTCATATTGTTACTTGCAACTTTCACTTGGAGAAAAAAAGTCTCTGCGATAAAGATCTAGAGGAGTCTTTTGTACCTGCTACTGTGGCATACAAAACCATGTTTCATCAGTTAGCACATCTACACTAGCAAAAATGAGGGAAACTGGAAGTTTCCAATGATAAAGTGTAGGTACAAACTTTGCTTCTGGGACAGTGTTCTTAAAAAAAGACAAAACAGAGTCAAAAAAATGTTTAGAGTTATAAAGGTCCTTACTGCCAGGTGCCTTTGAGTCAATTCCGACTCATGACTATCCCACGTCTGTCAGGGTAGAACTGTGCTCTGTTGGATTTTTCAGTAGCTGATATTTCTAGTAGACTGCCAGGCCTTTCTTTCAAGGCACCTTCAGATGGGCAGGAACATCAACCCTTTCAGTGAGCAGCTGAACTCAGTGTTAACCTTTACACCACCCAAGGACTCCAAAAACATCCTTAGATATTATGAGATATGTAATACAACCCTTTTGTTTTATAGACTAGAACAACTGAAAGAGGTTAGATTACTTGTCTATGGTCACAAAGCAAGCCACGACCAGCACAGCTGATTCAGAATCAAGTGCACATCTCACTTTTTTCTAAGAGCAAAGTAATTATAAACAAGGAGTGTTCAGGTATTTCATTAGAAAATAGCAAGTGTTATAAAGCAGTAGGAAAAAAAAGCTGATCAATAGTATCATTTATTAGTATTTTCAATAGTAGTGCTGCAAAAAAAAAAAAAAAAACCTTGAAAATACACTGTGCTAAAGGAATTTGTGCTAACTGAAGAAAGGTATTTTCTCTTTACTGAAAAATTATTTTCATTGACTGTTTTGTATTACTTAAAATTCCAGTTTCTAGTAGTGTGGCATTAGAAAATAACATACCTAATAGTCATCAGAAATATAATGGAGATTTTTACCTGTCTCGGGGGGCACAAAGGACACAACAGGATGATGAGATTCCATATCCTTCTATAAACCATAATCATTTCTACAACAATCCTCTCTCATACTAGTTCTTCTTTTTGTATGCTTTTTGCATGCTGAGCTCAATACATTGCTTCACTTTTCCAGGAGATCATCATTCAGTTGGTCAGACTAACAACTCCACCACTAGTCAAAAGTACAAGAAGAATGGCTGTTTTGGGAAGGAGGAGAGGAGTAGGGTGACTTTCGACTGGCTTTCTTTCCAATTTTGATCTGTGCCTTACTAGTCAAAAGTTCCATCTTTTCTATTTATATAGGATCAAACAGACAACAACAACTTGAAAGATTAGACAGGAATCTAAGGAGTCAGTGAGGGAGCAATAATGCAGAAAAGCAGGGTAAGAATGGCTGCACCACTTGAAGAATGTAATCAGTGTCACAGGATTGTACATGTAGGATTGAGTGAACTGGTCTATGTTTTGCTGTATATATCGTCAACAACAAAAACAAATAAATTACATTAAAAAACTTCCACCTTCTCTTTGGTTTGGGAGCTTTCTGTACCGAGGGTCCTTTCATCCCCCATCTCTTGCCTTGTTATTACATACCATCGAGTTGGTCCTGACTCACAGTGAGACCCTATGAACAACAGAATAAAATGCTGCCTGGTCCTGTACCATCCTCACATCTCTGCTGTGTTTGAGCCTACTGTTACCTTCCTTACATAAAACAGGAAGGGACTTTGCAAGGGAAGTGACTTTAGAGGCCACTAGGTCCAACCTCTCACTCACTGCAGATTTTTAAAACCTTCCAAATAGTCAAAGGCATGTATCATATTCTATTAAGTCTTTCCCATTCAAGCTAAAAATAGTTGTAGGAAAAATTCAAGTTAAGATCTACAGGAACCATGAAATTTACCCTATGATTGTAATCTCCTCATAGCATTTTTCATATTAAAACACAAAGGGTTTATTTAACTGAAATTTACTGCACATAAACAAACCCCCTTTATTCTCTAGACACTGAGAAAAGTAACTTTTATTAAATTCAACAGAAATGTAATGTTAACAGTAAAATCAGTTTGATCATTTAACCATACCAAATATGTTGTTGTTATGTGCCGTCAAGTCGGACCTGACTCATAGTGACCCCTCCTTGGGTTTCCAAGGTGGTATCACTATGGAAGTAGATTGCCCAACCTTCCTTCCAAGGAATGGTTGGTGGGTTTGAACCGCCAGCCTTCTGGTTAGCAGTCAGGTGCCTTAGGCACTACGCTAGAAATACAGAAAAATCTTATAAGAATGGCATTGGTTTTCTTAAAATGAAGATGACACATGAGTTAGAACTTCCCACCTTTTGGTTAACAGCCAAGCTGTTAACCATTTGTGTTACCAGGGCTCCTTTTGCTCATGGTAGCTGTTCAATAAAGTTGAATTAAATTGGTTTTCAGGCAGCCCATTTGAACAAAACTGTTTGAAATTTCTTTAAACAAAGAACTAAAATTTTATACTCTGAGAAAAGGTCTGACCAATACTTCAGTGATTTGAGAGCATGAGTCTTGGAGTCAGAAAGATCTACATACGAACCCTGACTGAATATGAATCCTGACTGCACACAACATGCCACTGCACACAACATGACCCTGGGCAAGTTACTTAATTTATCGGAGGTTCAGTTTCCTTGAAATCAGGATAAAAAGGCATATGTTTTACTTAGCACCAAACCAAACTCATTGCCATCGAGTGGATTCCAATCTATAGTGACCCTTTAAGAAACAGTAGAATTGTTCCATAGTGCTTCCAAGGCTATAAATCTTCACGGAAGCAGAATGCTACATCTTTCTCCTGTGGAGCGGCTGGTGGATTCGAACTGTCAACCTTTTGGTTAGAAGCTGAGGGCTTTAACCACTGTGGCACCAGGGCTTAGTACTTAGCACAATGCTTGGCAAATGGAAAATGCTCAATTAACACGTGGGTTACACTCAAAGTTAAGATAAAGGAGCTTGAGAAAGATCAGTACATCAAGACTTGTGGAAAATTTCGGTGTTAAAGTCAACATGCTTAGTGTTCTCTCACAAATGGGAAAACACCTCAATATCAGCCCTAAAGACTCCATAGCAACTTACACATATTTTCAACCATATGGATCTTTTCTTCTGTTATAAACTATATTTAGCACACATAAAACTTTCATATTGAAAACACTATAAGTAAGAATTTATTTAAAGAAATTTAAAAATTTTAGAAAACAAGTACAGCTTCAAAATATAGTTAAAAATTTATGTGTTGACAATTGACATGAAAGTCTATTTGCTTTGATCAAATTATGTTACTAAAATTTACCGATCGTGTATTTTGCATAACCAAAACTTGGTGATGCATCTCTGTTTTGTAACACGATGTAGCCTCCAGAAAAAAATAAATTTTAAAAAAATAAAACAGTAAATTACCTGGAAATTTATATAGCATAGTAATTTGGCACTCTGGTATTTTATTAAAGAAGACAAGTAAAAATATAGTGAGCTGTGGAAAATTTTAAAAATGATCATAAATTCAAAGATTCATAAAAATTCGTAAAATGATAATTTTCAAACCCTTAACAAGCAATATCATTTATGATCCTATTTAGAAACACACCTCAGAATTTTACGTAAAAGCAAGCCTAATCATAATTTTTAAAATAATTTTATTTTTTATCTTGACTTTCTTCACTAGTGGGACACTAAACCATGACAGGAAAAAGTTTATTATAGCACAGTAATTTCTTTCCCTTTTTGTTTTTTATTTTTTTAAAAAATTAGGAAGTTTCAAAGCATCTTTTATTTGTATATTCCTACAGAAAAAAATTAAAGGGATATTAAAAATTAGTTGTAGTTCAAATGTTATACTTTCCTAACCAATTACAATGTAGAATTTTATAATTAATATTTCAAAATTGCTCCTTCTTGGAATTGGTTGACTAACATATTATAGTTTTAAACTTCTAATTTTAGTTAATGTAAATATAAACAAATTTTCAACAATTCTTTTTACCTAGTAATGGTTAGGCTTTGGAATATATAATAGATTAAAAATTATAGCTATTAAACAGTTTTACCCATTATTTTACTATTTATCATATGCAGTTGAAAGAAGAAAATCTTCTCATTTGCAGTATTTTTGGTTTACGTTTTCAATATCTTTCATAATTTAAAAGGAAGGGGAAACTACTTCTATTACTATACTTACAGAAAAAGGAATGTATAAGAGAAACATGTACTGTAAATTTTTGTAACATTTATTTTATTTTAAAGTTTGCAATGAAATTTAACCAAACAGAAAAATCTTAGAAAATTGAAGCCAGCAAATATTTAAGTTAAACCAAACAGAAATATTAAATGTCACTAACCCAAAGCATGCACTGCTCCTCTATGCTTGCTGGAGCTCTTGCTTGTTTTAACCACACGAACAGCATTTCCTTTGAACTGCAGTTCACAAAATTTTTCAAGAAATTTTGCCATTTCTTCTGTAATGGTATTCAGGTAGGTTTCTTTAATGAATTTCACTGTTGAGGACGGAGCTAAGATTTCATGAAGTATGTTAAAATCCTCTTTTATCATTGAATACAACTTAAGCATTGCACTTTGATATCCATGAACCATCATGTCTAAATTTGATTCTTTGCTGTAAGAAGGAAAACAGTTTTGCAGCAGTTTAGTCAAAAGTTTATTCTGTATGTTCTGGTACTTGACTATTACCTCTGATTCTGGATAAAGGAACAAGAATTGTTGTATGCACTGACTTTTCAATAAAATTTTCTGCTGTGAATTGTTTATTTCATTATGGCTTTGTAATCTGTTCACTAAAAAGCGTCGAAGATGCAATCTTACGTCATCCCATGTAGATTTTACATCCATAGAGGAATGATCCTCAACAGAATGAAGAGAAGTCCGAGAGAGGAAATGGAAAGATGCTCCACTTAGAGTAGATGGGAATGAAATGCTACTCTGACAGGAGAGATCCCAAAGTAAATCCAATATCATTTCTTCTTGATTTTGTTCATTCTTCAGCAAATCCTGCTAATGAAAGTAAATTACAACATTAGAAATGCGATTAACAGTAAGAGTAAAGAAACAAATGATTTCTATATTCATAAACAACTTCATAACAATTTACTTCAATTTAGAATCAAAACTCTCATGCTCTTCAAGGATTGTTCAATTCAACTGAAATTTAATAATTCAGACATTTTAGAATGTCAGTTTTGTGGTCTGTTAAATTTTGTAAGCACAGCTGATGAACAGTTCTTTTAATTAGATTTCTAAACATACAGTTTTTGTATTCTTTGTTACCCAATCCCAGTATAACTTAAGCTGTATGAAAGGTTCAGTTTTAAAATTCTAAATAGAAATCTACATTAGAACATCAACTGAAATTTGTTCCTAAGACAAAATAAATTCAGGATCATGCCCCTAATTAATTCCTAGTAGATAATCTTCACGCCTGAATGGGTACATTTATTATTATAAAATCCCAAATGAACATATAACACTGTAAAATCTTTCCATAACAGAACAGAGACTTTTAAATATAGCATGTGCCTAGGGGTTCCTAATAGCTGCCATGCTGAGAAATAAACTTTAATACATTTAAAGATTTTTAACTTTAAGTTCCTTTTGAGTATCATGTTAAGAAAGATTTTACTTTGAAAATTAATCTGAGGATATTTCGCTTCTCTCAAAAGAAATGTTACTCAAAATGGGGGAAAAAATCAGAATTGCTCCCCAAAAGAAGGTATGAAATTATTCCTTTATATATTCTGTGCTTGAAAACCATGATGGGTTTAATTAAGAATAGTAAATGGACAAAAAAGTATCTTGTTGGATTTTGAATTACACATATTCTCCTTACATGCTGATTTTCCTAATTATGTGTATTTCAGCTAATATTGAAATTAGTTTATATTCTCAAAATAGAAGCAAGATTATTGTAAGAGAAGTGGAAGCAAGGTACAACTGCATAAAATAAGAGTGGCTTTGAAATTTCTTATTGACAAATGTATCTTAGGTATTTTGTGTGATTCAGAACTATGAACAAGTCCTAGACAAATTCTAGGACTTTGTTCTCAATCATTCTAAGCATTGCAATATCTAATTTAATGTTCTGTTGGTAATAAATAATATTCAGTATCTATAGTTTTTTTATGTAAAAAGTATTTTTCCACACATTTCTTATTTATTCATAATGAAAACTTTGTGACATATTTTAATCTCCAATTTACAGACAAGGACACTAAAACGTAGCATTCTTAAGTGACTTCCCAAAAGTCAAACAACAATAAGCAGTAGTCAAGATTGAATCTCTGGCTTCATTCTCCTAGTCCGTGTTCTTTCTAATACACCCTGGAGACCCACAAAGTGCATGTGCCCTTTCTGTAGCTGGTTTCTCATTCTCTCCTTTCTGACTTCCCTTACCCTCCTCTGTCTGTCTGTCTCTCTCTTTCTTTCCTTTTATTTAGTTCTTTTGATACTTCTAGAAAACAAATGTTCTAAGGTCCAGAACAGGTCACCATTACAGTAACTTCTACAAAGCAAATGAATAGTAATATTAGTACCTCAGCCTTGCATTTGTTTAAAGAAATCAGCCAGTAACTGAAAATATAGGGTCAAGTAAAGAATAATAGATAACAGAGTTTTAAAACATGTGCTTAGTATGATTGTTTTAATTTTGAAAATGATTTCAGTATAATCATCAAAATGAGGATCTCTGTTACTTATTTATATAGCCAAATAGTTAATATAAAACAATTTATATGGAAAAAATACATGAAAAATTCTGTCAAGTTTGACACTTTTAGTAAGTAAAAACTTGATTATAAGGTCATTTTAATCTGGAGCTGGTTCCTTCCTAAAAATAACATGATCAAATATGCAAAAAAAAAAGGTCTGGAACAAACTTACCAGTCTAATGAATTTGAGCAAAAGTAAGGTGGCCTTTGCCCTGAAGTAAATACTGAATGATTTATGCGTGACAGATTAAAAGATAATTAAAAGCTTTTGCTTTTAATTAAATCAGAAAGCATTATTACATCAATATTAATGAAATTTAATACACATGGCTTTTAATAGAAATTAAGGAATAACTATATCCATATTTATTCTGCAAGGCTCCACCTTCAGGAGATAATGGGTGAGAGGATTTTCCTAAAACAGTAAGGCTTCAGGGCACACAGTCTTCATTTCTCTTCCTTTTATTAATTTGTAAACATTAAAGAGACATCTGTAATAATAACAACAGCCAAAAACTATTTTCATCTGATTCTGTCATCCTAAGCCATCTACAATCTCAAGATATTTTCCACATCTGCCTTAGTCAATGTTTGATGTTTAGACAAAAACAGTGCCCTTTTCCCCCTAAATTAAAAACATAACTACAGAAATAACTGCTTTCTAACAATTAGACAGTTATTCTGGGAAATGGATTTTGCAAACTACCCATCCTAATAGATGTAGATATAATAAAATAAATGTTTTTATTGAAGGCTATAAAACCTTCTCTAACATAAAGAATGGCCAACTAGTAATTCTCAATCAACTAACAGCAGTCTTGTATAAATTACTACCTTAACTGAAAAGAACTGGTATGACAGCAGATTGGGAAGGCAGGGAATGATAGACAAGACCAATTCACAGGTAGAATTGATGGGCATTTTATTATGTTTAATAATGAGCACTGAGAAAGCAAGTAAATGTAAGGGGACATAAACTATAATGAATATAAACTTGTCCGGTAGATGACTTAAGAAATTCTGCAGGGTGTTTGGAGTGGGGAATGATGTTTCAACAATTATAAATATAAAATTATGTATTGTTATCTCTTTAAATATAAATTTCATCAATTTTACTTGTTTCATGTGTTGATGATTGGTCATTTTGTGGAACATGTAGAATATAAAGTTAATTATGCATAGAACTTAACCTGTAAAGGTAAGTGAGAAAAACAGTAGTGCCATAGCCTTGAATATCCTAAACAAAACAAAATGATTTAGCTTTTGAAATCCTGACAGGATTTACTGAATGATAGAGTAAGAAAGTGTTTTTTTAAAAATCAGCAACCTCATCAATCAAAATTTTGTGGTATTAATGGGGTATAATCAATACATTTTGTGGCACTGATATACAAACCAAAAACCAAACTCACTGCCATTGAGTCGGATCCAACTCATAGCAACCCTTCTTTGGGTTTCCGAGGCAATATCATTACAGAAGTAGATTGCCCAACCTTCCTACATCAAACTACAAATCACCCAGGAATTATGATATTCAATCTACACTTGCATAAAACTTCATTTTACTGATTAAAATCATAGTAAAAATGAAAAAAAAAAAAGATCCTTGGATTCTATTAGGGAAATCAAAACAAAACCTCCAAACCCTAGATATGATAGGATAATATGGACACTAAAATAAACATATACACAGAAACTGAATGAAGTATATTTCATGTTCACCCACCCCACAATTTTTTTTTTTTTTTACCATCATTTTGAGGAATTTTATCAAATCTCCATGGGGAATGGAAGGTGACTTAGATGAATTATAACAATAGTTATTAAACCACTCAAAGCAGTCAGCTGTTGTTTGAAGCCGCACATCTGGACACTGTTTGTTAACTTCTGATTGTATTTCTTTAATGCAACGTTCTAGGCTATAAAAAAGAAAAGAAAAAAAAAATTTGGTAGGAAGTAGGTATGATTCCATCTCATTACATCACAGACACCAACATCTTTGTATATGGGATCTGCTTGCATGCAATTGGCACCATTATAAAACATTCTTATGATATTAAATAATAAGTAAAAGACTTCATTCTTCATTCATAATTAAAAAGTAAGAGTTCATATTTTCTGGCAGGAAGATATTCAGTAGAGATATAAAACATCTACTCAGAGATGTATTAGAAATTCTTTCGTGTTGCAACAAAAACCAAGCAGAGATGTAATGCAATAATGGCCCTCTTGGTAAGCAGTAGATGCAAGGCAGAGACAAAATATTCCTAATGCACATGAAAACCAGCAATGCATATTATCTATTAATGGGTGAGTAACTGTATCAATTATGAAAAACTTCAATGAAAGGGATATTAAGAAGTCATCAAAAGTTATAAAGACCTTGCAATTTTAAAACTTGTATAAAGTACAAAGTAATATATGTTATCACTATACCTGGGTACCTTTCTCCTGCCATATAATTCCACTCCAAACAAGAAATAAAAATACACACAATAAAAGGTTATTAAAATAATTGGAAGGAAATGAAGGAAAGGTTGATAGGAATTATCTTTTAAAAAAACTCACTGCCATTGAGTTGGATCTGAGTCATAGCGACCCCTCCTTGGGTTTCTGAGGTAGTATCACTGCAGAAGTAGATTGCCCAATCTTCCTTCTGAGAAGTGGCTAGTGGATTTGAACCACCAACCTTCTGGTTAGGAGTTAAATGCCTAAGGCACTACTCCACTAGAACTCCCAGAAATGTTTTTGCCTTGTGAAAATTTAGAAAATATGGAAAAATTAAACAAATTTTAAAGTTAATTTCATCACCGGAATCTTTAGGTGATGAAATTAACTTTAAAATTTGTTTAATTTTCCACATTTTCTAATTTTTCACAAGGCACAAACATTGCTTTAAAGATGAAATTCTTCACTTATTAAAAAAAAAAAGATGAATTAAGAATTGAAGGAAAAAAATGCCCAATGAAATCTTACAAATTGCATGTTTATAAAATTTCATTCAAAGCATCCATAGCTTTCATACTCAACAAATATTCTAATTTTCATATAAAAATATGTGCATTCATGGTTATAAATTACAAATAAAGAACTAAATTTATCTCTGTGGGGTAAACTGTTGACCATAAGCAGAGTGCCATCTGTGGAGCCACATGGATATGACATATTACTACCACCTGATGGCAGCATATCTAAACTGCAAGAAAGCTTATAAACAGGCAAATGCTATTGAAGCTGAACCCCCTCAATCCAAATAGACACCCATGAATTTGTTTTTTTAAAAGTATTAAGAAAAATTTGCTACTAAAAGGTAGAGCTACCATTTAGAAAATGCCATTGCTATTAATTATAGATTACATGTGACAGAACCATGCAGACTTTGGAAAGCAAGCAAGTTATTACAACTGATGTATATGAAAGACTCTTCCAAATTCATCAGGTGTGGGTTGCCTATAAAACATACACTGCAAAAGTTTAAGGAAGACTTTATGGGAGACTTCTAAGTATAAGTGAATTCAAACTAAATTACCTTGAAATAAATACATTCTGGGAATCAAAGAGACCTTTCATAAAAACAAAGAACTTAAATGAAAAACAATACTGCCTTTGGCCACAGGCCACTCAATTTCCTGATGGGACAGCCTTATTCAAGAATACCAGCTCTAAATCTGACAAGAGATTGGTATATATTTTCTTAACTTCGATGGACTGAGAAACATGATGCCCTAAGAATACACCTTGACGCTAGGGACCCTTTATCAAAGGTTTTTATTATAGCATCCTCATGTGTCTCATTCAGTGAAACCTAATAGTTTACAGCAATGTGAATTGGAAAGGCTCAGAGGCTAGCCTACCTAAATCTGTTTCAATCAGGACTCAGCTTTTAGGCTAATCTCTAACATCTGAATCTGGGTAGAGGCCAATAACTACAATTTATAAATAGGATAAAGCTTTCAGAGGGCTAGATATTTTAGTAATTTGTTCTAACACTGATAAAGAGATTAAGCAGTTACATTTCAGGGGACCTCCCTCAATGATACAGACTAATACAGTTAAGCTTGCTTTTTTTAAAAAATCAATTTCACAAATTTTTAAGTGTCTGAAATCGTTTATGATCGGCATCTGATTTTGGTTTTAGTCATCTGAAAATCTCTAGTTGTAATGACATTCGCCACTGTCTATATATGTTGCTAATATACTTAATAGTTTGAAGTCTTTGGATTTATTACACAATAATTATAAAAAGAAATATTTGCAAAATTTGAGATGAATATCAGCTCAATATATAATCTGACAATTTACCTTCTTTGATTGAGGTCAAAATTTTAAAAATGAGTTTTCAATTTAAAAGGCAACACTATTATATTATTTTCAATATATGTAGTAATACTGCTAATGGGGAAAGCAATCTGGAGGAAGCAATCTATTAATCTTTAGACTTAGAGGATGCAAGACCTTACGCTAAGTTTCCTGAGATAGTAACATGGTACTTGTCTTATTTATGGAGTCCTTGGGTAACACAATGGTTAAGTACTTGACTACTAACAGAAAGGTTGGCAGTGCTGGGGAAAAAAGGCCTGGGAATCTGCTTCCAAAAGGTTACAACTTTGAAAACACTATGGATCAAAGTTCTACCCTGCAACATTTGGGATCACCATGAGTTGGAGCTGGTTCAATGGCACTGGTTGTTTGCCTTGTCTTTAAGTGTTTTCTCTTTAACTTCAGACATTCTTTAGAAGGAAGATCAGTCATGAGAAAATAAAAGGTAATCCAACTAGCACATTTAATGTCAGATCCCAAGCATTTGGGCAAAAAGGTAAAGTGTCTAAACAGTTTGTTGTTGTTTGTTGTTAGGTGATGCTGAGTTGATTGCAACTCACAGTGACCCTGTGTACAACAGAACGAAAAACTGTCAGGTCCTGTGCCAGCCCCACAATCCTTGCTATGCTTGAGCCTATTGTTGTAGCCACTGTGTCAATCCATCTTGTTGAAGTTCTTCCCCTTTTTCTCTGACCTTCTACTTCATGGACCATGACATCCTTCTTCAGGGGCTGGTCCCTTCTAACCACATGACCAAAGTAGGGGAAATGAAGTCTGGCCATTCCTGCCTGTAAGGAGCAATGCCACATGTGTTCTTCCCTTTTAGTTTTCTAATTCTAGGATACATTTGTTTGTTCTTCTGTCAGTCCATAGTCTTTTCAGTATTCTTCCCCAACAGCACAATTCAAAGGCATCAATTCTTTGGTCTTCCTTATTCGTTGCCCAGCTTTCACATGCAGATGAGGCTACTGAAAATGCCATGGCTTGGGTTAGGTGTACCTTAGTCTTCAAAGTGGCATCTTTGCTCTTCAATGCTTTAAAGAGGTCTTTTGCAGCAGATTTGCCCAGTGCAAAACAATGTCTGATTTCTTTTCTTTTTAAATTTTTATTGTGATTTGGGTAAAAGTTTACAGAGCAAATTAATTTTCAATATAGCATTTCATACACATTTCACTTCATGATATTGACCACAATGTCAGCTCTCTCCTCACTTCCCCCCCCCCAATAGCCACTGACCTTCTTCCTTATGCATTCTTGCCCTGTGAATCATCTCCGTCAAATACTGCCCTTCTGTTCTCCCATGCTTGGTTGTTCCAAGGAGTGTATCTACTTGATGTAAATGTTCATCCTGTACATGCCTGTTTATTGTTTGGCTGGAAGCCACAGGAGTAAGTTACCTGAAGGGTGACTAGGGGCCATGGTCTCAGGGGTCTCACCAGGCTCTATCAGACCAGGAAACCTCGTCTTTTTTATGACTCTGAGTTTTGTTCCACATTGTTCTCCCATTCTATCCACCATCTCCTGCACTGATCCCTTTCTGAGTGGTTGACAGTGGTAGTTAGGCACTATCCAGTTCTTTTGTCTCATGGTCATACAGGCTGAGGTTCACATAGATTACAAGTCCCTTGGATTAATTGTTTCCATGTGTCTTTGGTTTTCTTCATTCTTCTTTGCTCTGGACAAGGAGAGACCCATTGTTGCATCTAGACGGCTGCTTACTGCATTCAAGACCCCAATTGCTACTCACCAAAGTAGGATGTAGAATAATGTTTTTATTTAGTATGTTAATACCCATTGGGCTTTACATTCCCTGCAACCATGGTCCTGAGCCCACAGGTCTAACATCTTGCTTCATTAGCATGGATGTGAAGGATCGTGCCTAAGAAGTTATCATAACTTTGCCCCCTGTTAGTTCTAGTTATATGGATATTCTTTTAGTACATACAAATACATATGCAGAAATATCATCTGTTCACCTTATATACAGTCATGGGTATGTTCCCATTTGTCTAGACATACCTGATCATTCAGCCTATCTACCCATCTATTTACCAGCAGATTAAAGTTAGTTATCAATGATAACACAGTATTATATATGTAAAAGAGATTATCTTTGTTGTCTGTACCTCTTGTGCACCTTTCTGTGTCTATCTTTTCCTTAGTGTTATTGTCTTGGGTTATTATGCTGAATGAAATAAGTCAATCACAGAAGGACAAACATTGCATTAGTTCACTATTGTAAAAAGTCAAGGAAAGGGTTATATATAGAAGGAAACTTTCTTTGTTGGCTACCAGGGATGGGATGGGATGGAAGGGAACACTGCTAGACAGGTAAAGACAAGTATGACTTGGGTGAAGGGAAAGACAATATACAATGTCTGATTTCTTGACTGCTGCTTCCATATGTATTGATCATGGATCCATTTGAAATCTTCTTTTCTCCATTTATCATGATATTGCTTATTGGTCCATTTGTGAGGATTTTTGTTTTCTTTAGGTTGAGGTATAATCCATACTGAAGACTATTGTCTTTGATCTTCATCAGTAAGTGCTTTAAGTCATCTTCACTTTCAGCAAGCAAGGTTGTGTTGTCTGTATA